GTAAGATGAAGTTCAGCAGATTTATTTCCTGTTTCATCATCATGTTGTTTAGGAAACCGTTCTTCTGGACCTCATCCATGTATGTCCACTTCATTTGGGTCTTTACCTCTAAGATGAGACGTTTTTAGCTCTGTGCTTTGTTTTCCAGATTCTTTCATTCTGTTTGAGGCTTTTCATTTCTCTTTCCTCTGTTTCATTGTGATCTTAGCACTGTGCTACAGCCGCCTCACTGACGCTTCACCGCTCTGTGTACCAGAGTATCAGTGTTCAGCGGACGTCTCGTTGGTTCATTCAAATGTCCAGCAGGAAGCCACATAAAGAAAAATAGTCTATTGTTGAGTATGAAGAGGAAAAGTAAATATTCTTTAACTGTGGTGCAGACAAGATCCTCTTCCTGACTCGGGGTTCTCCATAAACCCCACCCACACCACCACGCTGGTCGTCCTCTTCAGCTACTCTCGTCACTGCTCCTCGCTTCATACTTGGCGCTGTCGTTTCATGTCATCCTAAGACTGCACAGTGTCGCCTTACTAGACGTATGCGACAAAGTAACCACTTCCCAATGAGTCATTATAGTGAGGAGCATTTGGAAAGTAACAACACGGCGTCACATCAAACACTTGGAGATACAACATATTAGTCTGTGGTTATTCTGTGAACGATGGCTTCAGGCATAAACTAATGTGGTGTTGCACTTCACGGCTAACATGAGTGTTCTGTGCTTCCAGGGTTTTGGTGTTGGAGAATGGAAAGATGGCAGAATTTGACTCGCCCTCCAACCTCATCAGTCAGAGAGGTGCCTTTCACAAGATGGCCAAGGACTCTGGACTCGTCTGAAGCCGGGGAGTGTCGTTATGTCTCCTGCTGCAGAGAGCTGATGTTTCCAATGAGAGGGACACAGTCCTACGTGCCAATGACCTTCTTCTTTGCTTTGAAACCAGCAGCAGTTTTCATTGCACAAGGAGGCTGGGCCTACTTAGAGAATATCACCAGCAGCAGTGAGGGGTCTGTTTGTGTTGCCCTGACAAAGTTCATACCACATATCAAGATTACCACGTGAATATTAAAGCCCCCACATTTTTATGGTGGGATGAAGAAGCCCGATCTGTGGGTCTGCTTCTTTTGTCCACTGTTAAACTCCCCAACAAGATGCTGCCATCATCATTATTACAGTAGTACACACGCGTCATTCATACAAGCAGTAATCCTGGAGCTGAGGCACAGCTTGATTGTACCCGGTGCGTGCATGCACACTAAAGAGGAAATGAGTTTAAATGTAAGGAATCAGGAATGTTCCCGTTGGAGAGATTTCCAGTTTAACCTTTGTATCAGGGAAGGATGTGGGACATGGTGCGACCAAGCTGATTGGTCAGAATTACACAAAGAAAATACAGACGCACAGCTGTTGTTGTCACTGGACTGTTACTTCTCATTCAGCACTGACTATTTATTGTCTTTCAGTTACAGCTTTACATCGTGTTGGAGGCTTCATTCATGTAAGAAATGGTTTAGAGCTTATTTTATTTTGATTATTAAAACAAAGACTGTTGCTCTGTCTTTGTTATGCAGCCAAATCTGTCCTGCACTTTGCTTGCACTCTGTTTTCAGCGGTACGTCGCCTGATGGGGTCATCAGAAACAGGTCAACTATGGGATGTGGACAAACTGTTTGAATCTACATGTTGTGCGTCTTTGGAAATGTATATATCTGCCTTACACAAATAAAATTAGACAATGGCAACAAATGAACCAAAATGTGTTAAAGAGTGTATCTGTGACAGCAGCTTTCATGTTGCTTGTGTTAAATGGCTTTGTGTGGTTGTTTGATGTGTGAAGTCTGTTTCTGTAGTTTACTCTACAGAGCTTAGCTTTGCACAGGTGTTAGCAGCGTGCTGGTCCACGTCAGACACTCTGCACAGAAACACTGGGCTCAGTCTGTTCTGTTTCAGTTATGCACACGGGTGGTGTTTTACCACTGGTCTGCATACACACTGCTGACAAATTAAAAGAGATGTGGGTAACCCAACAACTGACCTGTGCGTTTAATATGAACATGTTTGTTTGTCATGTCACAGCAATGCGTGTTTTACTGAAGAGCCAAAAGGAGAAAAAAATCCTAAGAAAAGGCAGCAAGGTTAGTATTTAAAAAAAAGTTTTTTCATGTGAAATTATATATATTTTTTATTTTTATTTTTTTCCTGTCCCATTTGGTTCTTTAGCCGTCAGAATTGTTGTCTGAAGACCAACAAGGATACCCAATGGATTTATTTTGCCAAGTGGATCATCATGGCATTACCGTATTGGTCCATTTGATCGACCTTTGTTTTTATTATTTATTTTATTTTATTTTCAGTTGTTACAGACGGGACAGCCATGAGTGAGGGATAGGAAAGGGAGAAAGAAAGGAAGGAAAAGAAAAACAGAAGGGGAGTGAAATTATATTCTAAAGATATGAGGAAAAAACCTCCCAGCACTGCTGTGGCCATACTGGATAGCATGTTCTTATGTCTGTGTGGGTTCTTTCTGTTCACGCCAATGTGCTATTGCAGTCCAAAAACATGCATGGTTATCATCACAAGTGTAATATGAGTGTTAGCCCTGCAGCAGGTGGATGACCTGTCCGGGCTCTTACACTATGGCAGCTGGGATAGACAGACACCGGATGGATGGGTGATGTTCAAAGCCAGCTGAGCCTGGATGTGCTGAGCAGCTACTGTGTTTTTTACCTGGGGAGCAGTAAGTAAAGGTGAGCTATGACAGTCAACGTGTTCATGTTACTTTGAACTATAAGTTCGGGTTTAGGTAGCAGACTTCAGACAGCTGTCTGTAAATCAGTCACAGCAGAAATTAATTAGTGGTTACAAAAAGAGACACTTTTTAAAAAGCCAGTTTGTAGTTCTGTTAAAATGTGTAACAGTGTCGCGATCACGGCACATCAAAGGCAGCTTTAATGACGTGTGTTAAATGATGTATGCGGCTCTTGTGCAGCACCTGATATTCACTCCGTTTCCCATCATTCTTTGTCGTCCGGTTTCACGGAGGGAAGATGGCGGTGACTGGTGGAACAGACCCGTTTTAAATCCTGGTACGTATTTAAACACCACAAAAAGCCGCATATGTCTAATTTCGTTGTTTGATTGAATGTCTGACAAAGTAACAGCCGGTAGATGTGCAGCGGTGGCTCTGGCCTGAGGCAGAAGGTTACCGGGGTGAAGGGAACCCGTCAACATACTGCTCTTCTTGCTAGCTGCGCTAAGCTAATTAGCTACATGGGTAACTGAAAATCTGCCGCCAGACATTTTTAGCGTCTGATAATCAATCGAGTGTGCGACCGTTGACAAATCCGCATTACAGATAATGGAGTTAATGGTCAAAACGCGAGGCGGAGAGATGTTTTGTAAAGCAACCAACGCGCTGTCCAGCCACGGACAGCTAATGATAATGCTATCTGTGACAAGCACTGAGAAACAAGTCGCTAATATGGAAGCTAAACATGTTGTTCTTTTCTTTTACAACTCAGAAGTCACGTAAGCATCCCGACAGAGAAGAAGGACGTTTAATCCACCGTGTAAACAACAGAGACGCAGTCATGTGCTGCGCAGTTTTTAATGGTTGTGTTCAATGAGCGTGGACTGAAATGTGTCTGTTGGTCCGGTGTGGGGTCCACTCCTCCCTCAGCTCACCCCGGTGAGAGCGCAGTGGGGCTCGGTGGACCCCTCAGACTGGCTCGGGTCTTCTGCTTCATATGACGGGACTCAAACTGATTACAGTCCCTGCAGATGCATGTTTAGCTCTTTGTAACAACAACAATATCAGTCAAATTTGTTCAGTGTTTTCTTAGTCTCTCCGTACTGTACTGAACACATGCCCTCACTTTGACAACACAGTTGTAGAAACAGTCTAAGCTCCATGATATTCATGTGTCAGGATCATGGGCTCTCCAGGGAGCCGTTCCACTTGGATTATAGTGTAACGTTTGGTGACACATGTTCTCTTCTTTCTGCAAGGTTGGTTCCTGAGCCCTGTTTTCCGGTGTGACCTGCCACGCCCTAGGTGTCTCAGCATTACTTCCCTCACTTTCTGACCCACCAGTATTTCTGGCTCATGGACTTGACTTTGGCATCAGGCTTCAGAAGGAGGCCCAGGGCCTTCTCTTCCCCAGGTGGAGTTGAAGAGACCTCAAAGAGCCCTCCTTCCTACTCACCTTCATTTTCTGCATCATCTCCTTCAACCGGTCCATCTTCTCCATTGTCTACATCCTCCTCTATATGTGCCAACACATCAGTTTATCCCAGCCATGTAAAAAGCCAGTTCGATGGAACAGAGAGAGCCAGGGTTTCCTCCAGCTCTGCCTCTACAGCTACGCAGTCTCTCTCCAAACCTGCATGCAGTACCACTTCCTCAGACTGTTTGCCTCACACTTTAATGCAACAAAGTGCTGACTGTGAAAAACCGGAGAGGAAAAGGGTGATGTACAATCCTTTCAATCCAAATAATGGAGCAAAAGAAGGAACTGAGATGAAGGAGGTGGGGGAAGGGGAGAAATACGATCCTTTTGACCCCACGGGCTCCCCAGCGTCAGATGTTGATGATGAGAGCGGCAAAGCAAGGGTGCTGAAGAGAAACACTATGAGAGAAGAAAAGGAGAAGGTGGAGGAACCTCCAGATTCCACGGACGCCTTCACTGACCTTCCAAGCGCCTGTCTGAGCTCTCAGCTCCCTCTGAGGAGGAGGGTGGACTGCAGCACCATGAAAGCTGATTCAGATCACTCTGAGATAGAGGAGGGCGAGATCGTTGGAGCCATTGAAAGAGATGGCAGCAGTAAGCGACCTGTCGAGGAACCCCTCCCCCTGAGTTCTCCCAGCATCTCCTTCTTTGGGTCAAAGCCAGAGCGAATCTTCCGAGTGCTCGATGGGGATGGCTTTGTGTCCGTGTGCACAGAGGGCAGCTGGGAAGTAGACAGCGAGCTCAAGGATGAGCCTGTGGTGGGAGTCGAGGATCTGAGAAGGAAGCTGGTCAGCAGAAGGAAGGAACGATATCTCTCCTTTCCTGCTTCTTCACCCTGCTCTCCCCAGCCGCCGCCGCCGCCACCACCACCGCCTCCTTCTCATCCTCCAACCTCTACATCCTCGTCCCCTTTAACGCCTCCTGAAGATCAGGGTGGCAAGTGCTGCAAGCCCTCCAAAAGCTCCAAGGGCCAGCAAAAAAGCAAAGATAGGAAAGACGGAGAAAAGGAGATTAGAAGAAAGAAGAGAAGGAAAGGCAAAGAGTGGGGTCAGGAGCTGAGCAAGAAGAAGGCGCAAAAGATGGGCAAAGAGGATAAAGGGAGAAGGAGCAGCAGGAGCAGCAGTCGCAAGAGGAAGAAAAGATGGCACAGCAGCCCAGAGACTTCACGGTCCTGCAATTCTTCAAGAAGAGACGGCCACACCAGATGGTCGTTTTCCAGCCTGTCTGAAGAAAGGCACAAAGAGAGGGAAAGGGATAAACCCCGGAGCCGGACTGGAGATCGAGACAGAGACACGGACAGAGGGAGGGAACACGATCGTATCAGTAGCCACAGACGAGATGGACGGGAGGAAGATTTTAACTCCAGAAAGAGGGAGAAGGAAAGGAAGGGAAAACATCATTCAAGGAGCCGAGAGCGAGGCGTTTCAGAGCGGTCCAAACGAAGCAGAGAAAAGAGAGAAGGCAATAGAGACAGGGAACGTGACAGGAGACGAGACGGTCGTCCCGTCATACCGCCGTCCATCCAAGACCTCAGCGGGTCTGACCTCTTCGCTATTAAGCGAACCATTACGGTCACAACCACCACAACGACCACCACCGTTCCCGGGTCGCCGAGACTTGCCCCATCCTCTCCCGGGAGGGCCACAAAGGACTCGGACAAGCCCTGTAAAAAGAAGAGGAAATGGCATTCGGCTGGAGAGGCGGGGAAACAGGGCAGCTGTCAGAGCCGCTCGCAGTCGCTCTCGCCGCCCAGGTACCACAGCTATGAGTCCGACCGCTACTCAGACAAACTGGAGATTGACGTGTTGTCTTTGGATGGTGAAGCTTTGGACTCAGACTACCCGTCTTTGGAGGACACGCCCCCTGCTGCTCTGCCTCCAGAGGCTCCCGTCCCCAGCCCCAAAGCTACAGCTACGCCCAAGACTGGACATGAACCCAAAAAGAAATCTCGCACATTAAAGAAAATCGCCCGCTCTGAAGCTTCGGCTTCTGCCAGCACAACCAAAAGCAAATGCCTCTCTTCACTGATGGTCTCTTCTGGATCTGCCTCTGTTTCCCCTGGCTTCCCGTCAGCAAAGCGAACCAGGAAGATCAAAAAAGACAAAGACCGGGACAAAGAGAGCAGAAAAGACACGAGTCGCTCTGGGAAGTCCAAGAAAGAAGGCGGCGCTAGTCAGAAAGGAAAGCTTCAGTCGAAAGTGTCGGTTCTGGTGCGCGAAGGCGTAAGCAGCACCACGGGGTCTTCGGTTGGCTCTGGAAAACTGAACATGGACCTTCTCGGCCCAGGTGGTGCAGCAGGGAGTGCTGGGGGGTCTGTGGTGGGTGGCTCGATTGCAGTTGTGTTCTGCAGGGACAATGAAAGCAGGTCACCTTTTCTGAAACCTTGTTCAGAACCGCTGTCACTGGGTGGGCGGAGCAAAGACCTGGTCAGTATGGGAAAACGCAGCGGTCTATCCGCACCGCCATCATCGCTGACCGGTCCTGCAGGATTGAAATCCAAGAAAGCAAAACCCAGCTCCATTACATC